ATTCAATTGTAGCATATTTCACAATAAAATAAATGGGGGGAAAAAGGAAAAAAAAAAAAAAAGAAAAAGCAAAAACTATGAATTACAGTCGAATTCAAGAAATTGCAAAAACCACACTAAATAACAAAGATTTCAACCGTATTTACAGAAAAATTCAACTATTAAAACAAATCAAAAATCAAATTCAACTCAAAAGAGGAGTACCATTACAATTCACATTTCGATTATGATCGCGATCGCCATCTCCATCTTCATGATCATCAAAATCCTCATCATCACCGCACTCGTATACAGATCCAACAAGCAGTAACTGATCGGCCAAGTATCTCTGCAGTAACCCTACCTCTCTCTCCCCGTCGCAGCAGCATCCCTCCTCGCATCGCCGCAGCCGCTCGTCGTCATCTCCGGACTCGCGAGGGAAAATTACGGCGGCGGCGGTCGGTTTCCTCCTCCTCCTCCGGCAGCCGCAGAGACGGATGAAGAGTTCCGCGGCGCAAAGGAGAGGGAAGATGGCGCAGAGGAAGGGGATGAGGAAAGGGGAGCAGAGGAGGAGGAAGAGGCAGCGAGTCCGGCGCGTGTGGAGCCAGGAGGATGCGGCTAGCATGATGCGGCTAGGCATGAACACAGAGGAAGAGGATGGAGAGGTTGATTGACGACGATCGGATTCATTGCGCTGCGGAGACGGTGGCGGAGGGCTTAGGAGCGGGGGTGATGATTGCGTGGTTGTGGCTGCAGTTGATTTATGGTGTGGAAGAACAGCTTGAGCACATGAGGAGTGGTTATTTTTATACATGGTAACCATGCGAGTCGCAGTTTGAATATATATTTTTTTTATATTTGATTTGATTTGATTTGTTGGATGGAGTTGTTTCTTTTCTCGTTTAAACGCTGGTTTTACTTTTAGCACCACACTATAAAGGCGACTCCTATTTCGGACATGAACATATTTTTTAAATTTAACTTTCTGAATTAAATTCGTATAATATATATGTTTATAGGTGAATAAAATAGTTAAGAAAGAAGAACAATATGGGGATGATTTTAGTTTTTATTTTTGTAAATACTCTACTATATATTTTTATTGATGAATACATCAATGAATAAATGTTTAAAGGTTTTAATTTAAAATTAAATTATATAAAAATACATTAAATAAAGCTTTAATTTTTCACTAGTATTTAGATCTTTAATAAGTTTTTTTCAAGAAAGATCTTCTAAAAATTTTAAAGTCATTAATTAAAGTAAAAAAAAAATATTGATAAGTCATAATTTTAGAGAAATATGTTAATTAGTTGTAAGTATATAAAGTTGTTATTTAAAATATTTAGAAGTTTTTTAAATTTATAATTATAATTATAAATTTATTATGAGTTCCTCGACTCATTTATTTTAAAATTTAATTTATTAATATATTAATAACATTATATATATTAAATTATATGCGCTTAAATTTTATTAACTTGGTATTTCCAAAGGAAAATTATAAAAGAACAAGATGAGAGGGAGGGGTCTTGTCAAATTTCAATTACGAAACACTTATTATTTTAAAATTATTAAACAATTTTAAAAATAAAAAAAATTCCATAATATATCCAGTAAAAAGTTTATTCCTTTGTATTTTTGATCGGATAGAGATTAAATTCTGTGTTATTTTTCACATGCTTTTTTAATATGTCAACAACACGACGAAATAATATTTTCAAAATCATAATTATTAAGGAAGAAAGAAATATCATTCTCATGTTATAATGATTATAATAATTTAAATTAAATATTATAAACAATTTGGGCCGGGCCATATTTAGATTTAAGTATAACATACCCACTACGGCCCATGTAATAATTTGGTAACTATTGTAAATTTATCATGGATTAGTTATATATTTCCTTCTTGATTGATCACAATGAAAATAATATACCATTACTTCAGTAAAATATATAATTAACAGTTTTTGTTTTTCTAAATTTCAAGGGTATAAATAGAATTACGTAAATAATTAAAATTTTAAAAAATATATACAATTTAAACATATTTTATTCTTTACTCTGAAATTATTTTTAAATTATAAAAAAAATCATGATTAACTCTGTTAAGTTAATTATTTTTAAATTATTAAAACTGCAAAACAATTGATGCGAGATTTTGAGGAAGCATTTTCCATATGGTGACATGTCAACGTCAGATTGGTTATTATTTTTATACCATATATTTCTATTTTTATTTTTTTATTTGGATTCATCTTACAAAAGCCTAGCCCCCTCTCTCCCCTTACATTTCAGACGCGCACACACACAGGAGCCCCCTTTCAGCTGACTTATAAACGTAAAAAAAGAAAGAGAACAAGAAAAACAGCAGTCTGGCTCCATCCTTCTCACAAAGCATTTTGCAAATTGCAGACATCAGAAATTTGATAAGAAAATCTCCAGAAAAATTAAGTAATAAATCAACGAATTAAAAAAATAAATAATCTCCATCTGAGCTCCAAAAATCTTCTCTGCTTGGTTTTTGTACTCGGCTACTGCTCATCTCTCTCCACGGCGATGTCCTCCACCGTTCGATTCCTCTCCATCTTCCTCCTCGTCTCTCTTTTATTCTCACTCGGCATTGCCTCAGAATCCGATCACAAGGTAACTGCTGTAACCTTAATTCGTTTTACAGATCTTGATTTGGATCTCCGATGCTCGCCGTTGATTTCTCACTTAGAGGTCGGGAAAAGGATTAGAGGAGCTATAATGTTTTTTGGGAATTGGTGTGGGTTAGATCTCGTTCCTCTAGCGTATGATTAACCCGGTGTGTGTTTATGAAAGAAGAAAATGAATTTGTGGAAAAATGTGGCGTAGCGGCCCGTCAGAAATGAGTTGGATAGGGTTAGGTTTCCCATACGTTTCGTCCATGCAAATTGCTTATTAGGTAATAGGAACTTTTGGGGAAGCGTTCAATTAGATCTTGGCGCGAGAGTTTAGTGGGGCTTAGATAGCGCTTAACTTAATAAAACTCCTGCAATACTGTGTTAAGATGGTGCTGGCCATGAGTTTTGATTTCCTTTCCGAGCCTTTAGATGTGGAAGTTGGTTTGGCTTGCCATGCGGATTGCAATTTTCTTCTCTTAGAAGTGGGATCTAATATAATCTATAACATCATGTACTCATCAGGTTAGGCCCATTTTTTACTTTACTTTGACTCGGTACTGTGCTTAATACCAGAATTCATTGATTTCCTGGGCGGTCTTGAGTTGTTCATCAGATCTTCTGAATTATTTGTTTGATTACCCCCTATCGCCATATTGGATAATTTAGCCTTTACTTTTCTTGTTTAATCATTATTCATTAGGTTAATTTCATTGTATGCTTTAGAAATACTGATATACCAGTCTTTCTTTATGCTGAGTACATGTAAAATGGAATATAAAATGTTTTTGTTTGTATTCTTTCCAATTTATGATTTATGTAATTTTACACTGAACCAGATTTAATCTTGGAATTTACTGTAAGGTTTTTGTCAATGTTCTGTTGCTGTAGACTCTTTAGTGGGCACTTGGATCTATGTAGTTTTTTTTTTCCTATGGTTTCTACTGTAATTTTTCTTTTTGAATTTGATTTTCCTGGTCTAGTATATTAACTAGTGGTTTAGATGGCCAATAATGACTCTCTTTTTTCTTTCTCTCTATATCTGTCTCTCTATATCTTTTCTCTTTGCATCCTCTTCCCTTTTGTAAGGAAGGTCAGATCGACTAAGATTAAAATTGGTGGTTAGCAAGAAATTCTAAATTTCTTTTCTGAAAAAAAAAATATCATCTATTCACAAATACTAAGGGGATGCAATCCGTATATAAAATTTATATGTCAAGAAAAATATCCATAAGGTCCCCAAGATCTTCACAGGAATAAACACTGATAGAAAATCTTAGGATTTAGAATCAAGTATCTTTGAATTCATCAAAATTAGATTTATTTCCTTCAGAAGCTCTCCTATTTCTTTTCCCCCAAATAACCCAAAATATAGCCAAAGGAATAAGATTTGAAGACCTCTTTTCCCTAAAGGCCCCATTCCATACCCAAATTTCATCTCACATAAAACCAGCCATCACCAAATTGATACCCAACAGCTCATAGGCTAAGGTCCACAAATGGTAGGCAAAAGGACACAACAATAAGAT